AAGTGGGTATACAAGACCAAGTACAATTCTGATGGGTCAGTTCATAAACACAAGGCTCGATTGGTTGCTAGAGGTTACATGCAGCAAGAAGGTGTGGATTTTGACGAAACTTTTGCACCGGTTGCCAGGTTTGATACTATTCGAACTGTTTTAGCTTTAGTTGCTCAACATAAGTGGTCTGTTTTTCAGTTTGATGTGAAGTCAGCTTTCTTGAATGGATTCTTGGAGGAAAATGTGTATGTACAGCAGCCTCAGGGTTATGAAATTGAAGGACAGGAGCAGAAAGTGTATAAGTTGAAGAAAGCACTTTATGGTCTGAAGCAAGCACCAAGAGCTTGGTATGAAAGAATTAATGCTCATTTTTGCAGCCATGGATTTCATAAAAGTCCAAGTGAGCCTACTTTGTATGTTCAGACCAGAGGTCGAGATGAGGTACTGTTAGTGTGTCTTTATGTTGATGATTTAATATACACTAGCAATAGCTCTTTTTTGTTGAAAGAATTTAGAAGAATGATGGTTAATGAGTTTGACATGACTGATCTGGGTTTAATGAGATATTTTTTGGGGAGGAAGTGGTTCAAAATGGTGAGGGAATTTTTATTTCCCAAGAGAAATATGCTAAAGATCTCCTTAAGAAGTGCAGAATGGAAGATTGCAACTCAGTGGGAACTCCAATGGTTTCTAATCAAAAGTTCAGTTTGGATGATGGAGAAGAAAAGGTTGATGCTCATGCCTATCGCAGCCTTATTGGGAGTCTTCTTTATCTCACGAACAGCAGGCCTGATATTACTTTTGCCACCAGTAGGCTATCTCGTTTTATGCAGAGTCCAAGTAAGACACATTATGGAGCAGCGAGGAGGATTCTAAGATACTTGAAGGGGACAATCTCTTTTGGCATTTTATATGCCAAAAATGAACAATTTAATTTATTTGGGTACTCTGACAGTGATTGGCCAGGTTGTGTTGATGACCGGCGTAGTACTTCAGGTTATGCTTTCTTTTTGGGTTCCGGTGCTATTTCTTGGAGTTCAAAGAAGCAAGCCTCTACAGCTTTGTCATCTTCAGAAGCAGAATATATCTCCTCAACAGCAGCAGCGTGTCAAGCCACATGGACAAGAAGAATTCTAGAGGATATGAAGCAAGTACAAGTGCAACCAACAACAATATTTTGTGACAATCAATCGACCATTGCAATGACAAAAAATCCAGTATTCCATAGTCGAACTCATCACATTGAGACTCAGCACCATTTCATAAGGGAGTTAGTGGCGAGTGGAGGCTTGGAAGTTGTTCACTGCAATTCAAAGGATCAAGTCGCTGACATCTTTACGAAGCCACTTCCTTTGGATAAGTTTATCCACTTGAGGGATTTGCTTGGAGTTTTAAATTTCAGCATTAAGGGGGAGCATGTTATGGTATAATGCTGAAATGGGTTTTTTCTTTTGGTGTCAATTTCTGGTTTACGTGTCTTCAAGATAAATTGCAGGATTAGTTTATAATTTGACAGAGTCCAAGTTTGTTATTGAGTCTTTACTTAGTGGAGTATGGTT